TTTTTTTAGAAAGCTTACCGAGTTTTAGAAAAAAGTAACGATTTCATTCGACATTTCCGTTACAAATACTTGTACTTTTTCCCTAAAAAAGTAACGAAAGTACAAGTAAAAGTACTAAATTTAAAAAGTAACGAAGTACAAGTAAAAGTACGTACTTTTTACTTGTACCGGTGGTACAAGTAACGAAAGTAAAAGTACTGCCATATATGCACATGTGTCTCTATCTGCGCCTATCTATCCCTATTTCATGATCATAAATTATTAAAATTCTAAATATAATATTTTCCCTTAATTTTTACCTAAATTAATACAAAATAATGAAAAAAGCATGAAAAATGTGTTAATTATAATTTTGCGCTAAAGGGTCAACAAAGTAGCAAAAAATAAAATATCAGAAAAATTTTTTATAAAATTTTTAAGGCAATTTATTTTTACGGATAAAAAAAATACGTTTTATTCTTTTTTCATTTTAAAAAATGGAATCTTCTTCTATTTTTGGAAGCAATATACCAATAAAAATATATTTATCGTAAAATACAGTCAAGAATTCCTTTTTACATAAGAAAATATTTTAATATTTCATTTATATGAGTGAAACCTTAAATTAAAGAAGAATGTATGGATTTTATTCTTCAAACGGTGGCACATTCAAATAATGCTGTATGGAATCCTTGTTTTTTACCACATCAGTATTGTACGGCATATTGTTCAGTATCTTTTTCACCAAAATTTCCATTTTCTTTCCAGTTATATTGTACTAGAATCAAAACACATAATTCAAAATTAATTCACAGCAAACTCTAACAAAAATAAATGAGTCTTTAATAATAGAAGTCAAATTAATAGACGCACTATAAGATTCAATGTAAAATTTGAACTATCAGGTGATACTATATAACTTTATTGTTTTTACGTGACTTAAACCGGTTTACACTTGTTTACATTCGTGTATCAATTGGTTAAATTAGGAGATATATGAGATAAATTCGATGCTAGGATAAATAAGATGATATATTATATAAATATAGAATATTTATCATACCAGGTATTATTGTAATAATTAGATCAAATTATTAGATACACTGTAGATCTTAAATAATTGCATGTTTTGCACTAGTTTATATGCAATACTTTTATATTTAAACATACATGTAATGGGTTTTTATTCAGGAGATTTTTATATACTTCCTATTTGTATTTATTTTTAAAGTATTGCATTTAAATGTTAACCACAGATTTTACATAGAATCATATAGCGCGTCTAATAATTGAGCTAGGGACTGTAATTGGTTCATTTGAAAAACCTTAAAAGTAATTTTTCATATTTAATAACTTATTACGTTTTTATGTTATTTTAAAAATTTAAAAAATAAAAATATTCTTACTGGTATATCTTGAACCTCCATGATAAGCCCTGGAATGTGTTCATCTGTCAACTCCTCTTCTACTTTTTCGCGAACTTTCTTCAATAATTCATCATTGAATTTGAAGCCAGTTTTCAGTTTCAAAAACAAAACAGCTCTCTCTGTACCATTTTTACTATACTGAGATACGCAAAGGCTGTCGTGCACTTCAGGAAGACGATTCACTGAAATGAAAGATCATATAAATATAAAATTTATTTAAAGAGTACTAATTTTATGAACTAATTTTTTGAAACTGAGTTTTAAAAGTACTGGAAAAAACACAAGAGAAATTTGTTTTTTTCCCCACAAAAAAACATCGCACTCGATAAATATTTGAATAGTGAATATAAAAATATACACCGAAACCTCATTTAATCGAATAACATCGTGAAATAAAAAAATCCAAATATATGTACGATGGACCATGGAGAAATAATGAACAAGTTGGAAGTTATATTCACAGTCAACTGATGGGAGGGTATGGAACAATTACTTTATAATTAAACATAAGTTCTAAAACCATGTAGTTTTACTACAGAGATCGCTTTAAAATTTCAAGGCTTAAGATCTCCTTGAGTTCTTTATAAAGGTGCATTCATCGTCCTTTATCTCTCATGTGTATTAAACAATGAACAAGTTGGAAGTTATATCCACAGTCAACTGATGGTAGGGTATGGAACAAATACTTTATACTTAAACATTAGTTCTAACACCATGTAGTTTTACTACGTTGTAGCTTGAAAACTATGCTTTTTTACTACATTGTATTTCTGAAACCAAGTAGTTTTACTTCAGAGATCGTTTTAAAATCTTAAGCCTTAAGATCTTGAGTTCTAAAGGTGGATGCATAGTCTCTTATCTCCCGTGTGTATTAGATCTAAACTTAAAGCCTCGTAATTACGATACATGCATATTAATACACTCGTTGCCATGAAAATGAATCATCAGAATAGAACGAAATTTTACATGCATAAGTACTATGTTGATCGAAATGGATGATTAAAAAATTAAATCTAACTGATCGTTTATTACAGGAAAAATAAGAATGAACGCAGGTTTTAGTACACTGTGGGGCCATTTCTATCACGAATATAACATACAAACGACCAAGTATTGAGGCATGAAAAGTCCCTTACAAAGTTCTGCGACTTTATGTCCCATAGTGGCTGTAAATACGACTCTAATTAGACTAATTTTTGAGGATGTCCGATTTGCCTTCCCAGGTGATCTCATATATGCTCGATCGGTGACAAATCTAGGGATCGAGTAGGCCAGGGAGAGATAGTTTGTGTGGCGGATGCAATCCTGGGATAGCCTTGATGCGTGTGGCCGAGCATTGTCTTGTTGGAAAAATGGCTCATAGGAGCTCTGCCATGATTTGAAACGCATGTTTTTGAAGAATATCACTAACCTACCATTGGACTGGCGTAATATTAAGTATGTTTAAGTTGGATTAAGTATGAGCAAGTTAGAAAAAGTTGGGCAATATCAAACAAACAGTAAAAACAATGAACAATATCATCACACTAGCTGTAGGAGCAGTAACTTAGGCAAGAGCAAAGTTAAGCAATACATTGTTTGAAAGTTTTGGAGTGATATTATTTCGTTCCAGATATTTTTTTTTCGTTCCAGATTGATTAGATAAAATAAGTTCTGTTCTCTTCCTTTTTTTTATTTTTTGAATTTATATATTTTTAGCTGTTCACCTTCGATGATCAGTTATCAAGTCCATCGGAGAAAATGCTGTTCGAAGTCTATGACTGTATTGTACTAGGTACTTCGCACTTATGAGCGAAAACCCGTCATCCAAACGTAATTGAAAATCAGGAGTCCTATAGAAAGGAGATCTTTTCCCCATATAATGTACAATCTTTGAAAAGAAGGAAAAATATCATTACTTACGTAAAATTGATTTAAAAAATTTTTTTTTAATCGAATAAAGGCCTTATACATGTATATACATAGATTATACGTAATTTTACAAGCTACATTTGATATTTCACCTATCAATGTTAATTATAAGCATAATATGTATAATAATATTTGTATCTTATATTTTAAACTAATCTCTCGAGCATGAAGTAATTTATGTATAAAGTACTTACCAACGTTATAAATTTCTGAACTTCCAAATCTACAACCGAATTGATTAAGAACTTCATCACTAGAAAGCAATAAATGCACATTTTGAACCAAACTTAACGAGTTTAGTATTTGGAAATGTTTAAAAACATATTTCAAAAAAATAAACCCTTTTATAATTAATTATTACAACATACGAATATGATAATTAATTTTTAATTTTTATTTTATATAAGTGTTAGTATTTATTCAAAAACTAAAATATTTTAACGAGATTATAATTTTTGATGTATAGATTTTAACATCGCTCATTCGTTAATGCTTTATCTTCATTTTTTATGTATTCCAAACATTTATGCTGAATTTTGATTTTTTTAATCGTTAGTATCACAATAAAAATTATCCGGCAAATTCACAAAGGAGGTACAAAACAGTTAAAAATTAAAATTCAACGCCATCTTTTTCTACGAATATGTATATGAAAGTTATATGTTTTAGCATTTTTGTATTAAGATATGTCGAATCATAGTTGCGTATTTCACAAATATTTCATTACAAATATATTAAATAATTTCATGCGTTCATGCAAGACAGTGGAATCACTCATTTAAACCTGAAAAAATTATCTTTCAAGTAATTGTTATAAATACTAACATCTATAATTCAGGAAAAAATTTAATGTTTCGCGTATTAGCAGTTAAAAATATTCGCATAAATCATAATTGAATATACTCAGTGTGCAATTATGTTTAGAAACTGTTTGTCATGTACTGTTGTCAGTTTGTGCAGAAAAATAGTTATAAACATGATAGTTAATAACAAATGGTGAAAGTCATGGAATAGACCACAAAATTCGGTTTTTTATATTGCATTTTTGAGCTTTTCATTTATTCAAGACATTTTGGGTACTAGAGAAAAAACTTCTTTCGAATCAATACAGAAAAATACCCACAGAGAATAAATAAAAAGCAATAACACTTACTTTCGACAACAAATAATGATTCCTCTAGTTTTTGGATTAACTACTGCCAAATCCCCCATTGAAAATTTATCTACATAAAATTTTTAAAAGGAAATTAAATAAATAATAAATAAAAAATGAAATAATGATTAGCAGCTTTAAGATTTAAATTAAGTAGAAATTTTAAAAATTTCGATTAATCTACTTTTATATATTTTGACACTAAGTATTTTTGTAAAATAATTGTCTTTAAAACTGTAAATTGAAGCTCATGCAGATGATAGCAATTTTTAACATCAACGTGCTGTTTATGATTGAAATGAGATTTCCTAAACTTTGTATTCATTAAATTTAATGATAATGGTTTAATTTTAGTTTGCATCCTATTCACTTGCAAATTTAATAGGCTATTAACTTATGTCAAATTCAGCAAACTAGAGGCAATAATGTTTATCTAGTTTTTGGCAAGTAATCTAGCAAATAATGATTCCTCTAGATTTTGGATTAATTACTGCCAAATCTCACCCAAGAAGAAGAAGACCAGACATACCCACACATGTGACCAATGACGTCAGCTGATAGTTTATAAGCAAAATAAAGTGTTAAAGTTGAGCTAAGTTTCTCCATATAAGTTAGAATGTTAATTAACGTGAAGTTAATTAAATACTATGTCGTATCGCTCATCGAATTCCTTGATATATAATTCTTTCTCGTCTGCGTCTTTTACTTAACTTAGATCTGTTATTTGTTTATGTATTTTATTGTAACCGTGATAGATTTTTTTTTGCGCATCTGGCAACTTCAATGCATAATTCAATTGTTAATGTTCTACATGGCTTCGTGACTTTCTGTGTGATGAGAAAAAAATACATAGTGAAAGAATTGAAATCTTAGTGAAAGAATAAGAGCATATAACATTTAAGAGAATTGATACTTGGCTTACTCGAATTCGAATGGAAAGAACAGTTGTTAGCGTAAACAAAAGCCGCGTTTCAACAACCAATCAGGATCGAGATACCCGCATTACGTCACTTGTAGGTATCCCATTGAGTAAATTTTGAAAAAAGTTAAGTCTTTTTTTAAAAAAATTTACAGTGGTCTCCTTTCAAGGGATTTTAAAATAAAAACACTTTTAAAGGGATTTTTAATTGCAAAAACATTTATAAATCCAAAATAATTTTTAATTTTATTAATGCGCGTACAGTATAGTTTTTAGAGCGCTATGACGCACTCTTCAGTACGTATAAATGCAAGTCTTATAGAATACTTCCTTTCTCCTTCTGCCAGATTTAAATGGGTAAAAACACTTTAAAAAATGAAATTTATTTTTTCGTTGCATTTTTATGGTACGAGGAAACAACATTCAAAAATTTGCATGGAACATTACTAAAAAGCTTTAAAAATAAGAAAATAAAAAAAATGCGACGCAAAAATAGTATTAATGTAAAGCGTTACTACTTTTCAGATTTATAATATGCTTGATATATTCCGAACAGTTCAACAATATGAAATCTTTACTATTATATTTCTACTAGTGGGCTGCGCCCCCTGCTCGCTAACGCTCGCCAGCCCCCGAAAATTGTTACGCAATCTTATATGATTTGCTTCACAAACCAAGCCCGCTTCGCTCGCTTCTAATTTAGGTACATTGCAAATGCATAAAATTCTAAGAATTCAAAACAGTCATTCAAATCCATATAAAATCCATAATACTAATATTTTTTTTTTAAAAAAAATTAGTATTATAGGAAAACGTTCTATATAACATAAAATCATAATGATCTGACACCGTTTTCCATTGTTGTCGGCGCATTTTTATTGGCCGGAAAATCACGTGGTAGGATCTAGTTTTCCCCCATTCATTTCCATATTGTTTAGGTTGTCATCAGCAGATCACACTTGGTGAGAATGCTCTCTCTGGTTATTTCCGTTTCCGTTTTTAAAAGTGCTACATGTTGAGTCACTTCAGCTAGCTTTGGCATGTGACATTTTTAGGGGCAATCTTTGTTTGATTTTCTAGCGTGGCCATTCGGGGAGTTGTAGTGAGGCTTTTTTTTGTCGCCATGTAATATAGATTGTAAGAGAAATATATATATATAGATTGTAAGAAATTCACCTTTATGTTTAGAAAAGTATTGTTCTCTATATCTCGAACCATCGTCATCTCCATATAAGCCCAGTGGCAATGATGGATATGGTTTTGTTATGACTAGATCACCAACTTCACCAACTATAGAGCAACCTGTAGACCAAATATGTAACAGAAATTAATATATAACAGTTATGTACTTACTTTCTTAAAGTATAGTAAGAGTTTTAAATGCATGCCTTAACCCTAGTCTGTGATATCATCTGCTTAGTATATTATGTATTAGAGAAAAAAAATTTAAAGAAATAGACAAGAAAATCAATAGTAAATATTAACCGATATAGCACAAAGCATCAACATTACGATTTAAAGAGTTTAGAAACGTTTCAAGTCCGTATTCTGATCTGTTTTGTCTCTAACCTAAGAAATGTCTTTCTTTTTTTCGAAAGCCTCTAAAGAAATATTTCTGAAATGTTCCTGATGTATAGTTAATATTTCTGATACATTCAAGATAAACTTCTTTACACGAATTCTTTTGAAATCCTCTTTCTTCAAACTGTCAACCGAAATCAGAAGAAATTTTGGCAACAAAAAGTATTTTTGAGAGATTTTGTTAAAAACTTATCTGAAACGTAATCGCGATGCTTTTATGATGTTTGGTAAAATCTATCTAATGATTTTTCTCCTTTAAACTTGGATTGTACAAATAAGTTTAAAAAAAAGTAATGCATGCGTTAACCATCCATTGTGCTATTCTCTGTTTAGTATATTATGTATTAGAGAAAAAAAAATGAAAAGAAATAGACAAGAAAATCAATAGTAAATATCAACCGATGTTGCAGAAAGCATCAACATTACGTTTCAAATGACTTATATCGATGGTAATAAACATTTCGAAATCTGCAGTAAGTGTTCTGCTGACCAGACCTCCCCTGACCACATTTTGGTTTGTCTGGGACTTACTAGGCAGGACCTGGTTCAAGCTTCCCTGTTGGTGCTAGACTTTCACAGAGTGAACAAGCTTATGGACCTGATCTAGCTCTGCTGGTCATGGGGAAGAGAACAACAACAACAACAACATTACCTTTCAAAGAAGTTACTAACTTTTCAAGTCCTTATTCCAATCTGTTTTGTCCCTAACCTTTAAAATGTCTACTTTTCCCTTAAACCTCTTATGAAATATTTCTGAAATGTTGCTGATGTATTGAAAATATTTCTGAAATAGAAGATAAAGAATTCTGAAACTTCATGAATTATTTAGAAAATCTCTTTCTTTTAACTGTCAACCGAAATCAGAAAAAGTTTTGGCAACATAAGATATTTTTTGAGAGATTTTTCTTAACTTGTCTGAAAAGTAATCTCGATGCCCTTATGATGCTAAGTGAAATTTATCTGATGATTTTTCTTCTTTCAACTAGTATGGAACAAATAAGTTAAAAATTATTGAGATTAATTGATTAACGCTAAGATTTAAAAAAAATGCTTAAACGTAATTTGTCACTCCTGTTCTAAGAACATACTTTAACTTGATGCAAATATAAAAGAATTGAGTTTAGAATCAACAGAATTATTAAATGATTTCTAAAAAAATATTTTTTTGATAGCACAAAAAATACCTGAGGCACCGTACCTTCTTCATTAACACACATTACATCAGCGCCTAAAGCTGGACAAGTCATTTCGCTTTTGTAAATAAGCAAAGTGCGATTAAAAGTTAAACAGGCCCCCATCATTTCTGTTGATCCTGTATTAAAAAAAGAAAAAGTTAGGTTAATGATTTTTCATTCTAGTAAATACGACACAAACAATTGCATTGAGTGAAGCAAAAAATGAACTCACCATAAAAACTCATGAATAAAAAATTTTTCTTAATTTTTTGATATACAAATTCATAGTTTTGAGGTTTTACAACACTAGCACCAGCAAAAATTGCATATAAGCTGTCCAGTTTGTGTTTTTCAGCTAGAAAATGAAAATTACATTTTAAACTGAATTTTAAAGTAATCTTTTTATAAGATAATGTTTTTCCACTTCTTATACAATGGCATAGAATCATTCATGTATGATACTTTGTAATTTATTCTTATTTCCTTAATGAAGATCATAGATTTCCCCTTATTCTAGCTCTCTTTAATGAAGATCATAGATTTCCCCATATTCTAGCTTTCTTTAATGAAGATCATAGATTTCCCCTTATTCTAGCTCTCTATAATGAAGATCACAGATTTCCCCTTATTCTAGCTCTCTTTAATGAAGATCATAGACTTCCCCTTATTCTAGCTCTCTATAATGAAGATCATAGATTTCCCCTTATTCTAGCTCTCTTTAATGAAGATCATAGATTTCCCCTTATTCTAGCTCTCTTTAATGTTGGAAAGAATCAGATATTTAAGGGAAAATGACGTTGAAAATTTTGCGAAACATTTTTTTCACTTACTTTTCCTACATTTATGAAATAAAAGTTTCCTAAGATTATTCTTACAAAAATACAGAATAAATTACAAAGGAAGGAAATAATTTACTTTGTATTTTTGTAAGAATAATCTTAGGAAAATTTTATTTCATAAATATAGTCACGAGGGCTCAGGGGAGAGAGCGTTAGCCTTCCAATGAGGTGAACCGGGTTGGAATCATAGCGGTGGCTGGACGATACGAATTCCGCATCCGGCTTGTACCGACCACAGTGCTGACTTGAAATATTCTTAGTGGTAGACGGGTCATGGGTTAAAGCGGTCTGGCTGCCAGACTAACCGTGGGAGGTTCTTGTGGTCTTAGAGTTCGATTAAAAAGTCGATTAAAAAGTCCCTTAGAGTTCGATTAAAAAGTCCTTCACGAAGACAAAAATTTCCAAATACTTGATCCAGAAGGTTCCCTTGTCTTCTGGATTGGGTTCAAAATTACAAGGCTACGGAGTTGAACATTAGTTGTCGTAAACTCGAAAATTGTGTCGGCTGTTCACCGATAGTTCTAAAAAAAATAAAGGAATGAAATCGGTCTTTTAAGGTGTATTTTAAAAAGCATTTCCTAACACAGCTTTTTTTAATAACAGACATACAATATCTGTTTAATGGAAACTTGATTAGAAATATATTGGGTTGTATGGAGATACTCCTACAATTTTAATATTACTGATGGACTCTTCTGTAAGTTTTTTTCAACATTTATGTGACCCCTGTTATTCATAACGTTTTTAAATTCAACAAAAAAAAAATACTAAAAATGTCATTTAAAAAATTGTATCTTGGTGAGAGAAACTAATTGCAGGATCAAAATCAACCGCTACCGTTTAAAAATCTCCTGCAACAGAAAACAGAAAAAAATTGTTCCCCAGTGTAATGAATTAATCATAGAGACTTTTGAAAAATGAAACGGTCAAAAAGTATTTGACTATTCATATTTTTAGTTTTAAAATTAATAGCAAATCATACGGACTGTCATTTGAGAAAGTTCTTCCACTCATTGTAAATCATCTTAACAATTAAAAGTAAATCATAATGATTCACATTGAAATAAATATGCATATGTTTCTTAAAACTATTCATGTTTATTGCTTACAAATAATTAGTAAATCCTTATGATTCGCATCAAAATAAATGTACTTTGACTATTCACCTTTCTTGTTTACAAATAATGATTGAATCTTATAGGTTTACAAATACAGAAATGCGCATAAAAATACTTATGACGTTAGTTTTTGAATATTTATTTCTAAACATTCATTGAAAGCGTTTATATCATTCAAACGGCGTTTTATTCTTACAGCAGGTATATACAGAAATAGAAACACTTTACTTGGGACGTAATTCCTCTTCTCTAATTCATCTATTATGCTGGGAGTCAGGAAAAGCATTGATATTTTATATTCATCTATGATGTCCCAAAAATGCGTTGGAGAAAGAAAGTAAGGCACGCCATCATATAAGACCGAAGTTTGTCCTGTGATGAATGCACTGAGTCCCATCGTCCATGTTGCCCATCCAGCCTAGAAAGAGATTTTTATTACTGTAGGGTCAAATTTAATAAGAGTTCGATCCTGAATCTAATCAAAGATCTGTGCCTCAATTGCTGAAAGATTTACTAAAAGATTGCTGAAAGCGAGAGGTTAAGAGTTAGATCCCAAGTTTAATTATAGATTTGGATTGTGTATACGCAGAAGAACTTAAGAAAATTCTTTGGAAAATATCCCCTCATTAGTTGAGGAGGTAATAAAAGAAGGGTTTCAACACTTCACCAGAATTATAATTAAGAATTGACAAACAAAACAGTATTGATGTATAAATAAATGAATAAATAAATAAAATTAAACTGCGTAAAACAGACTTCCGGAACTTATTGAAAGATTTTGTCAATAGCTAATTAAATATCTAGCTGAACTAGTCGGATGTAAAATGTTATGAAGAGTAAGTAGCCATAATTGATTAATCAGAAATTGCGAATGTATTGTCTCCTTTTCTGAAAATGTACCGTCTCTTTTCATGAGGCACATACAGTGTTCAATGTATTAGTCGCTCGCAAGTTTTACTTAATGCAATCCAAAGCATTGTTTCCCTTTGGAAACTATTATTTTATCTACAAATAAGTTCCATAAATATCTTTCAATAAAACGATCTTTCATTAACAACAATAGGAAGAACTGATCTGATGCAATATAACAATTCATCATAATGAAAACCATTATGCTAAAAAACTTTATTTGGAGGATTGTATAAAAACAGTCACCCAGATGCCTACTAATTATTAGATAATTATATCTGTTTGAAGTAAAATTTATGAAGAGTAAATAACTGTCATTGATTTAAATTACTAATTTTAGTACTAAAGAATTGCTACTGAGTTGTCTCCTTTTATGAAATGTACTGTCTCTTTTCTTAAGGCAGAGACAGTGTTCAATGTTCAAATCTCTAGCAAGTTAATTAAGCTTTGTTTCCTTTTGTAAGCTTTTCTTTTATCTATAAATAAGTTCAATAAATATCTTTCAATAAAACGATCTTTCATGAACAACAATAGGAATAGGAAGAATTGATATAAAATAACAATTCATCATAATGAAAACCATTATGTTAAAAAACTTTATTTGATTAATTGTATAAAAACAGACACCCGGATGCTTATTAATTATTAGATAATTATATCTGTTTGAAGTAAAATTATGAAGTGTAAATAACTGTCATTGATTTAAATTACTAATTTTAGTACTAAAGAATTACTACTGAGTTGTCTCCTTTCATGAAATGCACTGTCTCGTTTCCTAAGGCAGAGACAGTGTTTAATGTTCAAATCTCTAGCAAGTTAATTAAGCTTAGTTTCCTTTCGTAAGCTTTTCTTTTAGCAACAAATAAGTTCAATAAAAATCTTTCAATAAAACGATCTTTCATGAACAACAATAGGAAGAATTGATATAAAATAACAATTCATCATAATGAAAACCATAATGATAAAAAACTTTATTTGATTAATTGTATAAAAACAGACACCCGGATGCTTATTAATTATTAGATAATTATATTTGTTTGAAGTAAAATTTATGAAGAGTAAATAACTGTCATTGATTTAAATTACTAATTTTAGTACTAAAGAATTACTACTGAGCTGTCTCCTTTTATGAAATGTACTGTCTCTTTTCATAAGGCAGAGACAGTGTTCAATGTTCTAATCTCTAGCAAGTTAATTAAGTTTTGATTTCTTCAGTAAGCTTTTCTTTTATTAACAAATAAGTTCAATAAAAATCTCAAAGACACGATCTTTTATAAACAACAGTAGAAAGAATTAAAATCAAGTATTAATTAATGATAATAAAAGCTATTATGATAAAAAACTTCATTAGGAGAGTTGTACAAAAACAGACAACCAGATGCTTATTAATAATCAGATAATTATTTTTAAAATAAGTTGAAATTTATATAGATTAAGTAGCCGTAATAAATTCAAATCGCCGGTTTTAGTAATACAGAATTGCCTCCTTTTCTGAAAATATACTGTCTCTTTTTATGAGGCATAATCGATGACTAATGTTGAAGTTAATACCTTCCAAGGGTTCGAATTCCTTTATAGATTAATTAAGTTAATAAAATTTTTTCAAAACAGTGATTTTTTTAAAAACAATATTAAGATGAATTAATACTAAACAAATTGTATGATTTATAATAAAAGATATTAAAACATAAAAAAAAAGAAATTTATGAATCTAAAAATGAAAATTTATAATACTTTCAATATAAAATTAATTAAAACTCTTAATAAAATTAAAGCTTACTTACGGGAGATGCAGATAGAATGACTCCCTTTCTATCGACGCTACTTTGAAGGTATCTATCTCTAGTAATACAAAGAAGACACTGCGAGAAAAAAAAGATTTTAGACCTGAATTTTTATAGATAATAATGATTTTTTTAAAAGAAATATCCCTTTTAAACTGCTTTGAAAAAGCATTAGAAGTATCAACTACAGTAAAAAAAAATGTTTTCAATAATACTGAAATGAAATAAATTTGGAAGGAAAAAAAGAGTTCTATCAGTAAGGCAATCGTGAAATTTCGAATTCAGTCTCTAACCGTATTATTAGACGCACTATGAGATTTTATGTAAAATCTTAATTATCAGGTGATACTATACAGCATTATTGTTTTTACGCGACAGAAACCTGTTTACTTGCTTACGTTCGTGTATCAATTGGTTAAATTAGACGATATACACCGAAGAGCCATTATATTATGACCATCCTGCTAATAACATATAGGACCACCTTTAGCCCTCAAAACTGCTATCACCCACCGCGGCATTGATTCCACAAGGTGCTGATAGGTAGTCTGAGGTATCTGGTACCAAGCGCTCACCAACTGGTCCTGGAATTCCCTCACATTGCGAAGGGGTAGCGGGGCAGCACGAATTTGGTTTTCCAAGTAGGACCACAAATGCTCTATTGGATTAAGGTCAGGTGAATTTGGGGGCCAAGATATGACTTGAAAGTCACTGGATTGTTCCTCGAACCTATCCATGACGATTAGACCCTTATGACATTGTGCATTATCTTGTTGGTAAACACCATCTCCCGCAGGAAAAACTGTTGCCATGAATGGGTGAACCTGGTCTGCAACTATGTTCAAGTAGCTTACAGACGTCAGAGATTGTTCTATGAGGATTATGGGTTCTAATATTTAAACATACATGTAATGGGTTTTAATTCAGGAGATTTTTCATATACTTCCTATTTCTATTTATTTTTAATGTATTGCATTACAATGTTAACCCAATGATACACGAATGTAAACTAGCGTAAACCGGTTTTAGCCGCGTAGAAACAATAATACTGTATAGTATCATCTGATAATTAAGATTTTACATAGAATCTTATAGTGCATCTAATTATTTAGTCAGGGACTGTATATGCTTTATAAACCAAATATATATAAACTATTCAATATAATATGTATTAATTATAGAATATGTAGTATATGATCTATATGAACCGAAATTATCCTTCTAATTTAGACTTTAAGAAAATCAACATAATAAAACAATGAACGTTTCTATTATCTTACCAAAAATAACCACATTTATATCATTAACCTATTTTTGCCCAAGGATAGAAATTTTAATATATATAGTATTATTTTCATTGAAATATGCTTAAATTATACTCATTAGTTACAAAAAATAGTTTCGGGCATGAAAAGTAATATGTTAATTAAGAAATAAAATGGCACGTATGTGCACTATTGGTGAAATCAAATGAGCGAATCATTTAGTTGAACACTTGGTTTCTTATGGTATTTGTTTATTTTTTATTTAATTTACAGAATTTGCAACTTTAATCTGTCATAAAAACATGTAATTAACCTCAAAGGAAATAATTATACATTTTGAAAATTCGAATTTGTCTATAACAATTTAAAGTTAAAAAAAACTAGCGTAATTTTAAAATTTACAATTTTAAAATTAACTAGCGCAGAAAAATATAATTAGTGAAATAAATATACGTAACAGTGTTAATAATTTTTTTTATTGAAATGGTGAGTTTACGCATCTTTGGTCAAAAATGAGTTAATCAGAAAAAACTTGTTTTATTAATTGATATATTACAAATTATAATATTACAATTATATTTTATTATAACAGTCGTTGATCAGCCGACCTAATTTTAGGATTTATGTCTACCAAAGTTCAACTACTTAGCCTTGTAATTTTGAACCCAATCCAGAAGACAAGGAAACTCTTGGATCAAGCATTTGGAGAAATTTACCGTCGTAGAGGACATTTTAATTGAACTAACCCGTTACATGGAGAGGAAAACCACGAAAACCTCCACCGGTTACTCTGACGGCAAGTGGACTCTAACCCCTGATCCGTCTACCACTGAGGATATTTTTACGTTAGCACTGAAGTCTCTAGACGTGCATCAACATATTATTCTTATATACTTATTTCAATAGAAATGTATTAATATTAATTTTAATGTGGCATATGTAAATTTAAAAAATAAGTATCTTTCCCTGCATACTATAATGCCATGCCTTTACTGTCATATGAAATTATTTTACCTCACTTCCATGTACAATAGCTTTAGGTGAACCTGTAGTTCCAGAAGTATAACTAATGAAGACTGGATGTGACATAGGCACTTGCTCAAAAATTAAGTCTGGAACTGAACCATCTGCATTCCGCCCAGCATCCAAAAACTCTTGTAAAAAACAGCTACAAGAGATGAAACGGTTTAACTAAGCTCAACTTTTTTTTTAATAGGCTGTCGTTATGCATCAATTTGCTTTTAGTATAGACAATGTTATAGAATATATATAGAGTTATGAAACAACCATTCTTACTCCATGCTTTCGGAATCCTTGTCGAAAATTGAGATATAAAAATGACCCTTTAGGTTTTTCATTCGAAAATTTAAAGGAAGGAAAGTAAAAAAAAAAACACTATCGAAGTCCAAAAAACGAAAAGAAAGAAAAAAAAACTAAGGAAGGCAACATCAAAACCTGATTGATTGCCGAAATAGAGAGGAATTAAGAAGTTATTGTTATAAAATCCTTTAAAATTTTATCAACCAACTCTTACAAAATTTAATGTTTTTTTCAGGTTTACACAATATTGTTTTGAGGTGTTAAGGTTAATTTGAGGTTTATTCGAAGTTTATTTATTCGAAAACAACCTTAAAAAATCATCCTACAGAACTGTATAATCAAAGTATATAAAGTTGTTTTATTCACCCTTGAGGTTGTTTAGAGGTTGATGGAAATCTACTTCAAAGCAACCAGCCTAGGGAGGTAGTTTTTAAGGTACACGAATTGTTTTTTCTACACCTTAAGCAAATACGTATATTTGAGGTGTGAATAATTTCCCCCGATTTAAATTAAAATTATTTCTGAATTATCCATGAGGTTTATTTTCTTAAGTGTAAATGATATTGAAATTGAGGTTTGTTAATGAGGTTATTTTTGGTGCTGCAAAGCATAACCTCATTTTCTACCTCGGGTCTATATTTTTACATCTGTCAACTTCTGAACAACCTCAACACACCTTATTTTTGTGTAAGGGAATCAAACTGGTGTTGATGTCTATGATAGAGGTTTCTAGAACAATTATTCGATTCGGTTCCACTTTTGTTTTTTCTGATTTAAATATTAATTTGTGAGCCTTAATGCTCATGGATTTTTACTTCATTTTAAATAAAATTTTTAAGCATTTATATTACACCGTCTTTAAAACGATAGGTTGACTAAGCAGTTAGTGCAATCACATGGTAGATTTACATGATTTACAAAGTGCCACGTAAGAAAGATATTTAAGAAAATCTAGAAAATAAATTGTTTTTATGCCATGCTCCAAGGTATCATGAAAAAATTACCAAATTTCACAGCTTTTACCAAACTTATCACAGAATATGAAACCTTATTTTATATGCATTCTAATTTACTGAACATTAATGTTTTATGATAATTTAACAATTCAACAGATAAAAATATTTCTTATCAGCATAACAATTTCTTAAAAAGATGCAATCACAAAGTAAATATCAGAACAATCGTTGCATTAGTTGTCAATTTGTAAATAATGCTACAAGGACAATTTTTTTTAAAAATATCATTATCTATATATATATTTAATCTTTGTCATTTAATTTGAAAGTAGAAGGTTGTAAATTAGTATTTTGTAGTTATATTTATAATAACTAATTTTAATTTTATGTTTAACAACCTTACTAATAAGCAATCATATATATCAATAAAATTATTTATTAAACATTTAATTAAAAGTTTCCAAAAAAGAAGACAATATATTTTAGAAGGTTTGAGAGATTGACTCCTATATTACTCGTCTTTCAGCATTTAGCTGGTTTGTCACTCAAATAAACCAGATGGTTTGGTATCTTGCCTAATTCGGAAGCATTGCTATCGAAAATTGTCTTTCAAATTGACCTACTTGTCCTAGTAAAACTAACTTTATTACTCTGTTAAAAATTTCTCAGAGAAAATGGCTAAATAACAATTTATTTCAATGTTATTTTACCATATTCAACTAAAACAGTTAAATAAATATAAAAACGACGGCATTCAAACTGTTAAGCGAGAAAAAAAATTTTTATTCACTATTTTCACCGAATCAGATAATCAACCAGACACACTGAGCCCGTAGTCAATAGGAATCGAGCACACGATCTCCAAAAGCGGAAAGTTAACCCATGTGATAAGGATTACGTATTCATATTTTAATTTTCCACCATCGGATGCCTAACACAACAGTGGATGCTTAATTATCTCATAGTAATAAATCCTTGATTAACACCTTATGAAGCCACTGCGTTCTTAACAGTTTTGTACAATCTTGAGGTCGGTCATGAGATTGTCATATCAGCCGAGAGGACTAATCTCCAATCTCATGACCGACTGAATGGAGGTCAAACCTCAGCATTAAACCACAATGTTTTTTTCCATTCCTTCAACACACGAGAACTTTCTAGTGTCCTGTACTCCTAAATTGGTGACCCTGAACTGAGAATAAGAATCTCTCTTTCGCTTATAGATGGCAGCACCAGAAGCAAAAATGTCCCTTGTTTCCCATCTCTCACGATAGATGACACCATTAGATAAACTAATTAAGTCACATTTCATGATATATTTGACAAAACGCAATCGAACTTTAATGATAATTGCCTAACAAAAAGTCCTGACACATTCTAATTCCATTGTCCTTTTAAATTTAATTATTGCTGTTTTTAAACCATGTTAGTCGTAAATGGTTACGAAATCGTATAGCTTTGTATTCACAATTTTTCTTTTACCATATTAGCCGTAAATTGTTTTTAAACCTATAAAGGTAAAGAATTGTTCCCAGCCATTAACTTTGCGGTTAATTGGATGGATAGACTGCTACCGGTTATTGTATCGTAATTGGGATGAAAATTCTAATGGACTTTTGACACTGAATGAGATTCAAATATGCAATTGCACACATTGCGATTCACGCATGTGCGAACAGTTCGTGTTGCATGTAGTACGCAAGACTTGGGTCATAATTTTGTTAAGGAGTATAATATGTAATTAATATATTATTTTGTGCAAGGAAATTTGTAATGAACTATTCATTTCATAAAAATGAAAGCGTGATTTATTTAGATTAATATGCTTTGAAAAAAATTAAATTTAAGGAATTAATTTATAACATTCAAATGGATTTGATCCAAGTACAAGGTAAGTTAATTGAAATGCATACCTGTTAGGTATATTACTAATATTTTTCTTTGTAGAGTTTAGCTTGGACGGGACAATTATAATTTTTTCCAAGCTTTTCAAACCTGCATGAACAAAAACACATTTTTTAAAATTTTTTTTTATTTATATAAACATACACTCACTTATTTTCTCACAAGAGTTGTAATTATTTTTACTGGATTATTACATTAAGCAACATAAAAGTATCGATTGATTTTTGGTGTTTTATATTGAGGAAAGTAAATAAGCTGGTATTTCTTAATACGCAGACCTCTTACAATTCCGAAAGTCGAATGACCTCTAAGAGAAAAATTAAAAAAAATTTTCTTGGAGAAAAAAATTTCCTTCAGTATTTATTGGATATTTATAAAGATATGTATTTTATTGTTTAAATAGTTTCATACACTCTGACTCTTACCCTATATAATATGACATTCAGGTGCACATCACCTCTATGAAGCATACCCCAAAAAAGGGAAAGCACGCGAGGGACAAAAAGCAATACCTTGGTTTTAACTAGAGCTCAATCTTTGGGCACGTTAAATCACTAGTTTATGCGACGCCTCTCAACACGCCAAATGATCTACTTGCGTGTATCGTTCAATACTTCAGCTGGCACCAAAGGCACACCTTGCAGGTTCGAGTGGGGATGGGAATCATTTTTACGTCATTGTTAAATGACGATAACGGGTGCCCCTTCGAACAACTCATGTAATAATTAATACAAAAATCTTTTTGTTGTAAGTTTGTTGCTTCTTTTGTAGAGGTTTTCCAGCGGGACGCTGAGACTTGAAAAGGTTTTTCGTGATTTTCATCCTCTTAACGCGATCTGCGATGCTATGTTCTGTGGCAATTTTTCATCTTCTTAATGCCTTTTATCATCAATCTGAATCTGCTAATGAACATCTCATGTAAAGTACTCTTTGAATATTGAAACATCTCATAATTCATATTCTCATTAGTTAAATTGCAGAACATAGAATATCGCAAACCATCTCAACGCGTTTTGCGATACTATGTTCTGAGATAATTTTTGAACCTCTCGATGTCTTTAGCACTTCTCTGAATCTGTCGAATCTGTCGTTTCTACGAGACAAAGCAAACACTTATAGTTGTCATTCATATAAACTTTCTGCTAACTTTTTCTAACCAAACGCAATATATTTAGTTAAAGAATAAAAAAAGTTAATGGAGCAAGTATTCCCGGAATAGTAATTTTACCTGTAGATATATTCTTCAGTTTGGAAAGCATGTCAATATCTTTTTCTTCGTAACGGATTTGATCAATTGATACAATATATTTAGGAGACACTAATTCCAATCTATTAATGGCAGCCTATAACAACAAAAATATACTAATAAAAATTGATGTAATAATAGAATAAAGAAACGAAATAGTACTTAAAAACATACTTGTTAAACAATCGCACTACATGAGTTACCACATGCTCCACTTCTGAAAAGCCATGCAGTAAAATGGATGTGTAACTTTTAGTTGAAGCTTTAGTTGTAAGTATTTCGTTACGTGGTTTCGGTTTTCAATCTGGTCACAATTAGATTGATGCTAGCGAGTTCATGTCGTTATGATTACATTGATTATTTTTAGCAATACATATATTTGCTTTTTTGCAATATATCGCATGTTTGGAATGCAACACTTTTGGATCTTGGATACTTTTGGATCACTACTCTTATGGATCACTACTCTTATGGATCTCGTACTCTTAAGACTAATGACTCTTAGACTCAACGAAAAACCAATGATTTAATGTATTTTATTAGAAGTTATTAATAGTGTAAAGTTAACTGCCAATGTGGTTATTTGTTGATTTAACAGAGATGCTGTACTATTTTTTCCCTATCGAGTGACTATCAAGTAGATGCTAGTGATTGGATTTGTTCTAAACACATCTTTTAATTACTTCAGATTTTATGAACAATACGCGTATTTTCTTGTTTGCAACACATTACTGGTTTGGTATGCAGCACATTCTCGTATGGACTTTTAACCATTTAGTTAAAACACAACTAAGATGTCATTGTTTGAGGTTAACATTAAAAATATTTACGTTTCCAACAAAGGATAGGGTATGCTTTTTGCAATGTACACTAGAGCAAACAACAATGCGAATAAAACACAAATAAAAGCCGCTCGGCTATGTAGGTGTCAGGGAACTGACCAAGCACCAGAGAGGTTCTGGGTACGAATCCCCTGCATAGCATGGATGTTCTTTCATTCTCTGTACTATCTGTCCTTACTGTGGGAGCAACGTTGACCACCTAATATGGTGATCCTGAAAGAGTGGCCAACAAATTTTCTCTTCAGATGCCTTCAGACGAAAGGTCATTCCTCAGGTGGGCATTGAAAAAAAAAGCACAAATAAAAATCCAAGTCTATTCATGTATTTTTATTTGTGCCTTATTCACGTTATTGCTTGCTTTACATTTACGTTTATTTGGTTATTAATTCTATCCATCTTGCCACTTCTATTTCTCTCAAAAGACGTTCTCCGTGGTTCAGTAACGTTTTTTTCAGGCAATTTGATTACACAGTATAACCCCAAAGTAAAATCTGTTTTCAACAATACAAAAGAAGGGAGGTTACGAACTTTTTTTTTTTACCCTCTTGCTGTTGCCAGATAAATGCGAACCTGATTGGTTAAATATATTTACATGCGAACAACTCATCAATCAGATTGTTGCTCGCATCTCCGAATTCACGTATTCAACTAAAAGTTATTTTTTTGCATGACATTATCTTTGGACTGCTTTTTTGACCAAATTATTAGGACCACATTACTCAGATTGAGGCTACCCTCTGAAGACTGAAAGTCAAAGTTCCAATCCATCGAAAAAAATTTTGTTTAGAAAAGTGCGTTTTTGTGTCCCGATTTTGAAGCCTCAGTTATCGTCTGCACTTATAAATTAACATATTGGAGGTTACCTCCTCGAACCATTAAGATTGAGTGCAAAAGCTTGAAGATCCGATCATTAGATTAAAAGTTATTTAGGGTTGTGAGTTCAATTTTTTGCTTACAGTCACGAAATTCCTTGCACCGTTATGCAATAATATTTCTTTGAGGTATTTTTTGGCCAATTGGTCATAAAGAGTTAATATTCTAGAAACAGCGATATAAAGGATATCTGGAAATGACCAAATTTAATGCATATTTTTTTAAATCCTAGTTAAAGTTAANAAATATATATATATACATATATCAAACAGGATTCAATGTTTTCAATAACACTCTCCTTGTTAGTGGTTCATTAAATCACTTCCATTTGTAGTTCACGTACATTACTGTATACAGCACTGTATACAACTTTCAGAAGTTCAAATACATAAAAAAGTAAAGAATTTAATCCTTTTTGCGGAATTTACAAAACAAAGTAACTAACCTGAGCTCCCAACATTGGAAGTATTCCAATAAAGACAGCTCCTATACTAGCAACAGCCAGCATTGAAAATATGGCTTCTTCTCTGTTGGACATATAACCTAGGTTATAAAAAATATATTGATATTTATATGTTTCATCCAAATAGGTATCAAAATAAGTCCTATATAATTACTATAAAAATCAATTAGCATATTAATATTTAATTTTTCAATTTATGATATCAAGTCAACAGACAAACTAACTTTCCTTTGTCCCAAATCAACAAACTTCCCTTTTTTAGAAAATGCACGAAAAAAAAATTATGAATAAGAACTAACCGATTTGATTTCATGCTACGATATTGAACTGCAGGGGTATTTACCCTGGTTTTACGGACATATTAAATTTTAATTCGTGTTTGGATATTGAACTGCATAAATATTTGCCTTGATGTTACAGACATATTAATAGATTTGATTTCGTGTTAGGACATTGAGCTGCAGGGATACTTGTTTTGGTTTCAGAAAATGTAAAAAGAAAAATTATGAATAAGAATTAACAGATTTGATTTTGTGCTAGGATATTGAACTGCAGGGACAATTGTCTTGGTTATTTGGACATATTAAATTTTAATTCGTGTTAGGATATTGAACTGCAGAAGTATTTGCCTTGGTTTTATAGACATATTAACAGATTTGATTTCGTGTTAGGATATTGAACTGCAGGGATATTTGCTTTGGTTTTAGAAAATGCAAGAAAAAAACTATGAATAAGAATTAATAGATTTGATTTTGTTCTAGGATATTGAACTGAAGGGACATTTGCCTTGGTTTTACGGACATATTAAATTTTAATTCGTGTTTGGATATTGAACTGCAGAAATATTTGTCTTGATGTTACAGACATATTAATAGATTTGATTTCGTGTTAGGATATTGAGCTGCAGGGATACTTGTTTTGGTTTTAGAAAATGTAAAAAGAAAAATTATGAATAAGAATTAACAGATTTGATTTTGTGATAGGATATTGAATTGCAGGGACAATTGTCTTGGTTATTTGGACATATTAAATTTTAATTCGTGTTAGGATATTGAACTGCAAAAATATTTGTCTTGATGTTACAGACATATTAACAGATTTGATTTCGTGTTAGGATATTGAGCTGCAGGGATACTTGTTTTGGTTTTAGAAAACGCAAGAAGAAAAATTACGAGTAAGAATTAACATACTTGATTTCGTGTTAGTATAGTAAGCTTCAGGGATATTTGTTTATTGCAATTTTATTCAGGTGTTTCGGAAATTCCATCTATTACGATTATCAACAATGAAATAATATAAGTAATCTAGCATGTGTGTGGTGTATGTGTTTAGAATGCAAGTTTTGATATCACTCAAAATTTCAATGTGCAAAAAGATAATAAGCTTTGTAGAAATGATTAAATTACTCTTACATGCCACTTTATCTCCTTTCTTTAGGCCGATTCTTCTAAAGGCTGATGAATACTGTTTCACTTCTTCATATACTTCTGCATGAGTTATTCTTCTTTCTTCTCGATCTTCACCTGTAGAAAATTTTTTTTGTAAGAAAAATCCTTAGAGATGAAAAATATTACCAAATGTGTTGAAATGTATAAAATAAACTTTATGTTGACTCTTAAGTAGGAAATATGTGCCAAGACGCAACTATAAATAGGTGATAGAAAAGGAAGTAAATTTTATAGACTTAATGATTTTTTTTATATAATGTGTGATGCGCAAGCGTCTACCATAAGAGCAAGTTAGCTTGTCTTATATACTAGTGAATTGATGTTAAATAATCGTAGTGGTAGTTACGTAACAATACTCCCCCACCAGAATTTTATCAGGGATAGAATTCGATAAACGGATACCACAAGTTGCCGTATTTGTGAAAGACAGGGAGAGCTGGATTAAGTTCACTGGATTTTGAGCTTTAGCCATGAGAGCTGTATTAAGTTCATGGTTGTGCATGAGAACTCTCATGTGTTGCTATTAGCAGTCGAGTATGTGCAGGATCCCTTAGTGTGTAAATGAGTATGATGAGAGACAACAGCGCGAAGAGGACGATGACGCATTCACAGATAACCATCTAATGTGGACAATGCATCGAAGTAGACATGATCATATCACGTCCGGGTCACCAATGTGAGGAAAGACCATTGGACGATGCCAACTTTCATCTATCAAGAGGTACCTCAAGATTGAACCAAGTTAGCATGTCTTATATACTAGTGAATTAATGTTTATTAATCGTAGTGGTAGTTACGCTACAAATTATGATAAGATGAATACCAAGTGAGCGTCGCAAAAATGACAGACGATTTGAAGAATAACTCATAGAAATTACCTATTCCAATCAAAGCTATGTGACTATCTCTGTATCTCAGATAATTTTCTGCAATGTTAAGTCGAGCTCCAACAAACCATTTTGGAGATTGACTCATTGGAACAGAAAGATCTATCACCTATAAAGATATTAAATTAATGAAACAAAGTGGTTAAAAATCTAACGACGTTTAATGACAGAAAAGAGTTTAATAAAATATTAAACCATATTGACGATAAATAATACATTGATAATTTAAATCAGTGTTAAATAACTTATGATCTATTGATTGTTTTTCCCCTGACTAATACACAAGTTTATTTATCCGAGAAAATATGCATTTTGCAGGGTTATTAGCTTTTGAAAAAACAACACCTATAGTTATAATAAAATAATAGTTACTTACTTTGTCATATTTCCTTGAATGTATAATTTCTGTAAAATTCCATATCTCTGCCCAGAAGTTTTCAATATTTTCTACAGACCATTTATGGAGATCCCAGTAGCTATCTGTAAATATGAGTGTATTTTGATTTTATATTAATTGTTATGTGTTATTGCTGATATTCGGAGACTCTGCCTTTAACTGAAATAATGTTTTTTTTATGAACAATCCCTTATGAAAAAATCGAGGTATAAATGAGGTATAAACGAGGTATATTTTAAAGGTAGAAAGGAGGTTGTTATTTAAATACGTCGTTGAGGTTAAAAAGGGTGCAAATGAATACCTTAAAACCAACCTCAAACATACCTTAAATATACCTCCAGANAACAACACCTATAGTTATAATAAAATAATAGTTACTTACTTTGTCATATTTCCTTGAATGTATAATTTCTGTAAAATTCCATATTTCTGCCCAGAAGTTTTCAATATTTTCTATAGACCATTTATGGAGATCCCAGTAGCTATCTGTAAATATGAGTATATTTTGATTTTATATTAATTGTTATGTGTTATTGCTGATATTCGGAGACTCTGCCTTTAACTGAAATAATGTTTTTTTATGAACAATATGCTATTTTTATAGCTGTTTTAGGTTCGAACTAATTATTCCTGACTGTTGGAGCGAAACTTATTTTGAGATGCTTATTTCGAAGGTTAACATAAGCAAAAAATGTAGAAGTAAATTTTGCTAGCAGATAATGATATATAATAATGTTCGAAGTAGATTTGTTTTTTAATGTTCTTAATGTCTCTTAAATTTCATGTTACTATTTTGTAAATAAAATGTATATAGTTTTTATTTTATTACCTTATTATTTAACTGTTGCGACACTTATACAGCACAGCAAACTGATGACCCGGATCTGATTAATACTTAACACTTAATCAATAATTAATACTGTTGATTTGAGTTTTGAAATTTTTTGGCTAGCACCCTTTACGTTGATCATGAAAATGGTGCTAAATGTCGAACGGAAGACTCACAGTATTGAGAAAATGAAAAGCGATTTTAATCAAATTTTAAAAGTCACTCTAAGATTTGGACTCATGCCAAAATTGAGAATTCCTTATAGTTTTATTAAATTTTATCCAAGTAGAAAAATCTCGCCAAATCGGCGTGTTTTTTCTAGCGTTATAATTTTTTTAAAAAAAGTATTTAAGCTTCTTGTTCGTATTTAGCTCCAGTTAGTTTTTTCCCCATTTCTTAATGGGAAAAAAATAAAGCTATAATTCTGAACTGTATTACATACAGTAATGGGAAAAAAATTAAAGCTTTCATAATGGGAAAAAAATTAAAGCTATAATTCTGAACTGTATTACATACAGTTCAGAATTATAGCTTTGTTGAGAGTTTAAAGACACAAAATACTTAGGTAAAATCCTAGAATAGCCCATCTCTTGGCGACTTTTTGAAATCTTGCGAAGTTGGCGATCATTACTGGGGTCAACGTTGCCTTTTAAATATTTAAAAAAAAAATTTTAATTATTAGAAATTTAAAACCGCAAAAAAAACTAAAAAATCGAATAATAACGGTATCAAATGAAATAACGGTTAATAAATGAAATCATAACGATCATTCTAACTGCAAGAGATCAGAGGCATAACTGGCAAAAAAATAAACCCTTTCCAACTTTTGCGTAGGTATACATATCAGATAACCAATCAGGTTTAAGAATTTAAAATGATAAACCACATTTTGAAATTGTTCAGCGTTTTTGGAGAATAATAATCAAATTATCTCTGTGTAAAAGTCACGTTTTATGTTAAACGTATATTAAGTGTTATGCATATTATTAAAAGTTATGTTATGTATATTGGTATATTAAGTGTTATGTTAGGTGTTATTTTTGTGTGTAAGTTATGTGCTAAGTGGCAGAATTAATGGAATAAATCTGAAGCATTATCTTCATCAAACTTGGCTGCTACACCAAAGTAGCCAGTCAGAAATTATTATAGTAAAAATGCAGCTTAATGTAACATATATGTAACAAAATTTTTACCATTATAAGGTATTTAAAAATTGTACAAAAAAAATCTTATAGACCTGGTACTGACGCACTGTAGTTAGTCTCAAAACTTTAAATATTTATACGGATTATTGATAGCAAAACTTTAAGCGCTATCTACTCGAAACTGTATTTCTCTTGCTTGCTGTACTAGAACCGATTTACTTGAAATTTTGGCACAATATTCATAATAAATATAGTTTTCGTTGCACGTCGGTATATCTTTATTGCGTTGACTTGTTTTGAATAATCCACGACGAAAAGTTAATTTATTTATGTAACTTTTTGAAATTTTTATTTCAAAATACAGCTATTTCGTAAAGACTCCTACGTGCAATGAGAATTATATTCATATCATTTAAAAAAAACTAGATAGAATCGAATTTAGATGATTTTTTTTCATATTAGTACAGGAAGTTATGATTTATGAAAAAAAATAAGTTTTAACCATTCTATGATATATGCGCTAATTTTTAACATTTTTCTTTTTGCATAATGGCAAAATTAAGATTATAATATGCACAATAAGATGAAAATAGTTATTAAGTTAAGTTTATCACAATCATTGCAGAATTCATTTAAAAGCTAATTCATTCATTTTACAGGCTTCTACTGTGTTGTTCCCCTTTTAAAAAGATAGTAATTTTTTGAAATTTTTATTTCAAAATACAATCATTTCTTAAAAAATCATACGTGCAATGAAAGCTATATTCATGTCGTTTAAAAAAACAAACAAATCGAATTTAGATGATTTACTTTCAACTTATCAGTACAGGAAGTTATGTATAATTTAAAAAATAAGTTATAAACATTCTATAATATATGAGCTAATTTTTTAAATTTTTCTACTTATATCATGATAAAATGAAGATTAAAATCTGTACAATAAGATGTAAAGAATTATTAGGTTAATTTTGTCACAACCATTGCAGAATTCATTTAAAAACAAATTCATAAATTTTACAGGTTTCTACTGTGTTGTTCCTCTTTTAAGAAGACATGGCAATAATAAAAATTAAAACGTAGTCAAGTATATTTACCTAGTTTCACTTTATATTTTTCTTCTATTAAATTCATGAATTTCACAAAATTTGATGATTTGTCAATTCCGGTTGGCTTCCATATGCAGGCATTTTCAAAGTTTTTGGCATCCATCCTTTTTGAAAATTATCATTTAAGACAGTTACAAATAATTAAACAGTATGTCTTAGTCAGCATTTTGCAACACATTTTATTTTATCACGGCATATAAGAGTTTGACTAATACAGACACTATTTGCAATAAATCTAATTTAAATAAAAATAGTAAACTAGAGCAATTTTATATCTTTTATATTGTAAGAGTGGGAGCATTGCCCTTACATATTTCATACAAAAAATAAATAAATAATAAAGATCAATAATAATAACTTAACATAAACGAAAATAGAGTATTGTCCCATCTTGCCCGGACTACTCGAGCAAGATGGGACACATAATTATGTTTCAAAAATCACAGAAATTAATGTCAGAATAAAAGAATAATCGACAAAAAAACGTTCATAAACATCACAGTTACTGCATAAGAAGTGGTCAAAACCAGAATAAGCACTGCACGCTTCACGAGCCTATTTTAAGCAATCTGAACATTGAATCCAGTCTTCAGTAACAGTAAGTTATATTTGTTAGTTTATATATTTTTTGTTAATATTACCTTATTTTTTCGGCTTTTTGCCAAAGCCGGAGAGTTTAATTTTTATTTTACACTTTTATACTACTTTGGCTGTCCCATCTTGCCCGGATAGTACATTTTTTAAAAACATTATCTGCAAATTTGTTTAAGCAAATAAATTTTAATTTTCACTACTCATTATGTTTGCACAATAATACTACAGTGCCACAAATTTGACAAATTTATTTCAATGTATTAAACAAATAATAACAGCATACAGACCTGGAGTAAATATTTTAGTACGCTATAAGAAAAACAAAACAATGCTTGCATTTCGGTAACACCTTGTGAACTGACGAAAAAACTTGTGCGTATTGAGAATTTTTAATAAAATGTATAGGCTCTCAATTTTCTGTACAATCAGTTATAACAGAATTAACCCTTTGACCCAGAATTTTTATTAAACAGAATTTTTATACTTTTCTTATTATTTTGTTTTAATTTACACCAAAATAACTGAAAAATATTATATTTAGCATTTTAATAATTTATGGTAATGAAACGCAGCATGAAACACCAGTGTCTTTTTCTGCGCTAAAGGTGAAATCCTCGAAACACGGCTCACTACTAAACACTAATTTTTAAAATTCGCCCTTATTTGTAGTTATTTAGATCAACGAGAAACAGTTATTCATCACTGAAATTTCTTAAATTTACAAAATCAATTATTGATAAATTTTTAAATATTAATATAAAAAAAATTTGAAACTACTTTTTGTTGGATCCTTTATTTTAGTGCAAATTTAATTCTGATTATCTAACAGATATTTTTAACAACTATTAGACTGTTTTTTTTGTAGTTAAGATATACCATTAAAATATTAAATACATTTTTGCTTGTGATTAGGGAGTCAGAAAAAAATATCTAAAAAAACCACCGATTTCACGTCTTCGTCAAACGGTTAAATAACTTTCAGTGATTGATTTTTTCCCTAATTTTGTAACTGTGAAAGGATAACATTGTAAGTTATTATCAGAACAAACATTGAGAGAAAAAATCTTTTCTCCAATTTAAACAATACAAGTGGAACAACAGATGCATTTTCTCTGAAACGTTCGATTGCTGAATGTAATATTAATAGTTTGGCAACGAGTGAGTGTAATTAGAGCCCGAGAAAAAAAATCTAAAAACAAACACTGGTATCACGCGTGCGCCAAGAGGTTAAATAACTTTCAGTGATTAATTTTTTCCCTAATTTTGAAACTGTAAAAGGATAATATTATAAGTTACTATCAGTCCAAACATTCCGAGAGTAAATCTTTTCTCCAATTCAAACAAACCAAGTGGAAAAACAGATACATTCTTTCTGAAACGTTCAAATGCTGAATTTAATATCAATAGATTGGTAACAAATGAGTTACGATTTTCTTCTAGTTTTGATATCAGATCTTCTTTAATGGTTTGAACTTCGTTCTTCACTTTATCGCAAATATTGACGAGAAAAATAAATTGAATTGAATGTACTATAAGTGTTATTAAATACTTAACTCTTCTATAAATAATCTCTAAGGGATTTAAAAATAGATATAGGGAAAAGCACATGGCGATAAACCACCCCGTAATCAAACAAATAATTAAAGGCAAAAGCAAATCATTTATTTTCTTAATTTCAATAGTCATTTTCTTGTAATCATTGATGATTTGAATTGATTTCGAAGATGTTATTCGAATTCTTATATTCTCTCTAACTAAACGATTGTAAAAGTTAATAGTACTGAAGTTCTCCAACTGAATAAAATAACAAATGAAAGCACAACTAGCAGGAAATAAAATGATCAGAGCGAAAGACCAGCAATACAAAATTTTCCATATAATTGCAATAGATTGTTTGGTCTTACTGTTTAGGTGGCTTAGGTCAACAATATTGAATAAAGCTAGACGAACAATTCTATCATAGTNAGTGGAACAACAGATACATTTTTTCTGAAACGTTCGAATGCTGAATTTAATATTAATAGATTGGTAACAAATGAGTTACGATTTTCTTCTAGTTTTGATATCAGATCTTCTTTAATGGTTTGAACTTCGTTCTTCACTTTATCGCAAATATTGACGAGAAAAATAAATTGAATTGAATGTACTATAAGTGTTATTAAATACTTAACTCTTTTATAAATAATCTCTGAGGGATTTAAAAATAGATATAGGGAAAAGCACATGGCGATAAACCACACCGTAATCAAACAAATAATTAAAGGTAAAAGCAAATCATTTATTTTCTTAATTTCTATAGTCATTTTCTTGTAATCACTGATGATTTGAATTGATTTCGAGGATGTTATTCGAATTTTTATATTTTCTCTAACTAAGCGATTGTAAAAAATAATGGTACTAAAGTTCTCCAACTGAATAAAATAACAAATGAAAGCACAACTAGCAGGAAATAAAATGATCAGAGCGAAAGACCAGCAATACAAAATTTTCCATATAATTGCAATAGATTGTTTGGTCATATTGTTTAGGTGGCGTAAGTCAACAAGATTGAATAAAGCTAGACGAACAATTCTATCATAGTCTCCATATCCCCAAAAGACTTCAAAAACGCGAATAGTGTAATAGATAAGAAGCAAAGGGTACACAAGCATCATTAATTTATCTGTTTGTCTGCGATTTTGATTAGAACAAATTTTTCTAATTTGATGGATGTAAATTACATTTTTTAGTACTCTTCGCAAGATTGAACGTAAAATAAAACTCATTACAAATATTAGAAAATATCCTGTTATTTGCATTATGACATATATCATATTATATTTTTTAGAAAAATGAACTGTTGAATATGAAGTGTATATGCATGGGATTAACCACACTATGTAAAGCCCTGTATAGAACACATCCTGCTTTTTATTAACAGTTTCATTAATTCTTTTGCTTTTCGCTTTTGCAATTCCAAAACACTTTAGAATAAGAAGTAAGAACTTCCAGTCTTTAGCTTGAAATAAGTTTGTATCGTGGTCACCGTAATCCATTATTGTTGACAAAAATTGGATGAATTAAAAAGTTAAAAATTAGTACATCAAAAAGTTAAACTTAAAAGTTTATGATTTTAAGTATCTGGAAAAAGCATAACTAGGATGTTATAAATACAATGAACAAATCTAATAGAATTGTTAAAAAAGATTGTGCTAAATCATTCTAACAGAGTTATTTTAAAAGATAGTTCTAACATAAATATTTTAACAGAATTATTCCAACAGATTATTCGAACGTAATTAATTTTAAAGAATGCAGGCCGTAGTTTGGTTGTAGTTGGATTGCTGCCCGTAGTTCGAAAGATCGCTCAGACAGAATTGCTCTAATAGATTGTTCTAACAGTATTGTTTTAATAAAACCTTTTTAATATGATTGTTCCAACAAATGATTCTGACAGAGTTGTTTCAAAGGATTGTTCAAACATAAATATTCTAACAGAATTATTCGAACAGATTGTTCGAACAGAATTAGTTTTAAAGATTGCTGGTCGTAGTTTGGTTGTAGTTGGATTGCTGCCAGTAGTTTGAGAGCTTGCTCAAACAGAATTGCTCTAAAAAAAGATTGTTCCAACATTTTAACAGAATTATTCTAACAGTTTGCTCAAACAGAATTACTTTGTGAGATTGCTCTAACAGAATTGCTGAAATAGATTTTTCTAACAGTGTATGAGCAGATTGTTCCAACATAGTTTTTTCAAAGATTTCTACTTAAAGATAAATCTAACAGAGTGTTTTCATAGAATTCGACTAAAAGATCAATGTAACAGATTGTTCAAAGCATATTATTCAAATAGTTAACAGAATTGTTTCGGCATGTTTTCCAAACAAGTCTTTTAAAGAAAATTTCTCTAACAAACTGCTTCAACAGATTTCTCAACCAAAATTGTTCTAACAAAATCTTTTAGCTACATTGTAAGGAAATCTTCTGCTGTCTTTTTTAAGGACTTTTAAGCCTTTTAAGTATTGAAAGTTAGCAACTTACTGAATTTATACAATTAACTGAACATTCAATAAACTTTAAAATGTTGTTTGAATTCCTCTTTCTTTTTTAAATGCTATGTATCAAAAGTATTTTCGAAACAATTTAATTTCCTCAGAAATGTTTCGTTGATATTTTTATGAAATTTTTTATAAATTTCGTTTTTTTAAAAATGAAAGCAGCAACATTCTTGTAGTAAAATGTGGTTTGAAATTCTATTAAATACTATTTTGGAATAAATATATTCTATTTTCTTTTGTTACCATGCCGATTTTTATGAAAGCTCTCTTGGATGATAGCATATATTTCCTTACATACAACTCATTCTAAAAAAGTAAATATTTTCAGAGAGATTTCCTTTATTGCTAGCCAGACTTTATTTCTCTACAAGATCTTTATTGCTTGCACAAATAAAACATATAACATTTAGCTGCTGTCAAATATCTATTTTCTACTGTTACCATTACGATTATTATAAAAGATATAATTTTTCTTGAATGATAGCATACATTTTCTT